CCCCCCCCCCCCCCCTCCGCACTGCGTTAAAATATACAAGAGAACTCTAATTCCAACACAGCCCCAGGCCTTAAGATTTCGGAATTTGCTGGAATAGAAGCAAAAGGTTCCCCATCCTACTCCTTCCTCGTTTCCACCCATGAAAAAGGAGAGGGAGCTCCAAATCTCATCTTCACACCCCACTCATCATGCCCACCACTTCCTTCTCCCCTCCAGGCTCCAGGACCCTAGAGAAGGGAGCAGCTTGCAATCATGGGCTCCACTACACGTCAGTATCTTGGGATGGGCTGGTTGGTCTAAGGTTCCTAGGGCTTCCTCTTTCTGGGCCAGAGTCCTCCCCATCCAGCTCACACCATTGCTGTGCTATCTGCCAGGCTGTACCACCATAAGAAACGCTAAAATGTCCAAATTTACAAAATCCTTAATTAGGGGATGATCATTTCCAGCAACAATAACAAGATTTTTCACATTACAAAAGGAGTTGCTCCAGGGTCTCTTTAAATAAAAGCTGCCTGAGTGGTTTAAATTAGTTTTTCATTTGCCAGAATTGAATTACAAATACCTTTTCAACAATATATGTATTAGGTAAGGCCAAGTAGAGCTAAATTAATTAGCCCAGCAGCTCAGAAGTTGGTGACCTCACATAGAAAACCTATTTGCACTGGCTGAAGATCCTACATATCAATTCCTCCAGGGCCACTGTAAAACCAGCTGTCAGAATCTGTAATAAAGGGGAAGTTCATTGAATGCTGACTCAAACAGGACCAATCAAATAGCGACATGTTTTCACTACCAGGTACACGTCTGGGCGGATTTCTAGTAAATGGTCAATAAATATTTGATGAAATAATAAATAAGTGAATGAATTGTTAACCCTTCCTAAAGTGACTTGCACAAGGTCAATGGCCTCATCTGTCACACCAAGCGCTGGTGATCTGAGCAGATGATCTCCAGAGTGCCACTCAGCACTGAGACTTTCCAAATCTCTTCTTCATATTCATTAGCCTTTAACATCCTCAGATGATCAGATCAATATGCTTTGAAAGGAAGTACTGGGAACAAATTCCCTAATGAGATTCAGTGTACTTTCTGAAGATAAAACAACTCTTCCCTAGCCTCCCAGCCCATTCTTCCCCAGGAATCAGGTTAGGGATTGTGATGCTCAAGGTACAAGTTACCAAAATGGGAGACTGGTGATGGAAGACATTCTGTGAGGCAGACCTGAACTGCGATTGCGACCTCTGATATAAGGTATGTTTGCTAGCACAGACTATAAATTCTAGACCAACCATACACCAGCGTCCCCTTTAAATAAAAACCTGTTGAAACAGCAGGTCCCTTGCTACCCCTAAAGAAAGCCTGAAAAGAAACATAAGCCCCTAACCCCTTGGTGTTACTGTAAGGGCACCCTCATGGACGTGACCAAATGTGAGGACTGTGTTTTCTCTTAAAGACAAAGGCACGCTCTGCTGGCGTTCAGCGCCAATCCCACACCATTCATGTCCTGCTGCTGGCAGAATTACCAGCCTGCTGTTCCCGTTAATTAGCCAAGTTGAAATGCTCTGCATCTATTGGGGAAGTAAAGATTGCTACTGCCATCGCCCCAGGATCTACAGCATGGGTCTTCTCCAAGCCCCACTTCTGCCTACGCCTCGCTCCAAGTGTGTTCCGCTTACATTGCTGCTGCCTCTTCCTCTACACATTGTCCTGTCACCATTCTCCATGCCACACAATGCCAGTCTTGCTCACTCTGGCTCCCAGCCTCTCTGTGGCCCCATGCACAGCAGCAGGACTGGTGTCACAGTCCCTATCCACGGTTTTGTGGCTCTGGGAT